TTACAATTAGAAAAGGAAATTAGAAAAGATAATTTAAAAAAGACAAACTCCTAGATAAAGTGAAATTATCAATTGCAGTTGTGATGTACTACATCATAAATATTTTCCTTCTTTTCTGGAAAAGCTTACAAATCAAACACAGCCTAGGATCATAAGTATGAATTAATTGTATAAACATAAATGAATAATATGCACAGTTGGGTTAATAGTAAATTTCAGGACAAGACTTGTGGTGGTGTCCAATTTTGAATTTATGGTTTTTTTAAATCTTTACTCCAAACATCAAGAGGAGGAAATAATTTCAAGATGTAAAAATCAAGCTAGAAAAAATAATTGGAGATGGGAAAAGCAGTTAAAAATAAAGTCAAAATTTGAAGCTTAGAGTGGCAAGCTAGTATTCAATGCTAAATATAATCTGAAAATTTCAATTAGCAAAGCCCCACTAGGAAAATGGAGTAGGGTCAAATTTTTTTAAAGAAAACTCAATGGTTTTTCGATTTTTTACCATGTCGATAAGGAAGCAATGCACTCTAATAGAGAGATTCAAACTTGATTAATGATCGAGTCATGGTTTTTCCTATTAAAAGGCTAGACCTATTCAAGTAAAATATATAACACACGGTAATGTTATTTATCATTAGTTGGTTAATCAATTAATTAGGAGACCGCAGCACCTAGACTGTTAGCTACTATCACAAATATTGAGTACAAAATTTCAATCATATATGTCATTAAATTTTCGTTAGTTGGGAAATGATAATCTAACTCAAACCTCATTATTACTGATTCATATTTCAGGTTGCACGCCACCCCGATGCAGTCACAGTAGTAACAGGAATAGTTGACTGCTCAGGTTTGAAGGTTCTGTGCATGTTCTTCCCTTATGAAATTTATTTGTGTCCACTTATCTAGAATAAGCCAATTCTTTTTATTCAAATTGCATCCTGTTACTCCTCGCCTATGAGGTTCAGTTAAATGAGGCTATGTGGCATGACACGTGGACAGGCAGTCAGCAAGAGTAAAAAAGAAGACCCAATAGGTCAAACATACCAATAAAACAAACAGTCCGAAGTCCTCACACCACGTCAAAAGTGTCCAGGCTGAGGCACTTCTTCAAAGACGAAACTCAGATCCATCTGATGCTCTCTCCAACTTATCGGAAACTCATTGAGCCGACGCTGTCTTTTTTAATTGATTTGAAGATCTATTAGGAGTGAGTGGTGTAACACTTATAATAAAGTTGTCAATGCGTCAGACTATTATATAGGGCGGCTGATCTCTCATCAATGTATTAATTGTATGAATAGACAGTGATGTGAAGCTTTAATTAGGAAGATGAGCCCACGTGGTTCCGATCCAACAGTATCACGTCGGTCAAAACAGTATAAATAAGTTCTATTTGTAATAAAAAAGGGGATGAAAAGGGGATATCGAAAACAACATATGATCAAAATATACATTTGAACTCAACAAAGTAATATTCTTACATTTCATCTATCCTTCGACATATTCCTACTTTGTTTTTACATAAATCATTTTGGTTTCCGTCCGACAATTGTTGCTAGTGCGATTGCCTTTGTTCTACCTTTCGAAGATTGAACATTTCTGTCTCTCTGTGCGATTGCCTTTGTGCGATTTCCCATTTTCTTACCTCGTGCTTGACTTGGCGAGAGTGGGCCCGCCACCTGTCGATTCATTTTTTGGGGTTAACCCATCCTATTAGGAAGTTTAACAAAACAGATAAGGCTCAAACTTATTGTGTAGCAACATGGGTTCAATACCTTTTTGATACTTCTCTATTACTTCCTTGTTCTAATATTTATGGACAATCACATCTTAAATTGTTATGAAGCCATTGTTAAATCTTTTCAACTTAAATGCTACACTACCAACTGGAAAATGGGAAAAAAGATTACGGTGGATTCAACCACCCTCTTCAACAAGGTAAGTTTCAATGTTTTTCATTAATCTCTATGACTTTTCTCCTACACCTTGGTTGTTATTTAAAACTAAGCCTTTGTTTGATAGATTTATAGGTCATTTATATATTGTTTAAACTTCATTTTCAACCACATATTCCAATGGATTCACAAGTATTGTTTACTTCTCTACTACTCGTTTCTATCTATTTATAAATTAAGCCATTTTTTAATTCTTCCCAAACCGAGGCTAAGTTAAGCACAGTGACAAATTTGAGATATTTTATTTGATGCTTTGTACCAAGTCGGAGTAATTATTTCATTTCTTCTTGACAAGGTCTCGAAGTTATTGAAGCTCATTATACAAGGAAAAGAACAGAAAAGACATGTTGATCATGGTATTTTCTTTAAAATTTTGGAGAAAACTCGAAAGGGGGGAAAATATCAAAATTTTTAGGCGAATAGATTATTACAAGCAATCTTCAGTCAAAATCACCCTTAGTTTTAAAATATAAATGAGTCGAGTCGAGATTAAAAGTAATCAAGTCTAACTTGAATCGAATTACTAAAAGAATCAATAATAAAAGAATTACAACATTATAATGTTAGCTTAAGTTAAATTTTTTATATATGTAACAGGTAAGAAATGTACCCTCCCATTTTTGAAAAGAAGGTGCCTACAAGTGGGAAAGGTGGTTGTACTTGTGAACATGGCCACCCAATTGCAACTAAAGTTTTAGCTAAGTTTCATGGTAATCACAATTCTTTATTTTGTTTGTAATTGATTATTGAACTTAAACTTTACTTCAAGTTGGCGATATTTTATATATAATTTGATAGGTCTGATCCTCTACTCCCAGATAAAAATCTCTTACTGCTGAAACATCAAGAAAACCTTACTTATTATACTCTCAAACTCAGAGAATCATAACGAAGATTATTTTGCCACATAGACAGTGAAACGTTTTTATCATGCTCATTAGGAAAGGAAATAAACATCGTATAGCTTGATTCCTTTAATATTACTTTAGAATACATGTAAGATTTATTTTTTTATATTGATTCTTCAATATATCCCTTCAAGGATTAAATTTATATTTTACTATACACTTGTACAGTTTTAATTTTACTGCACACTTGCACAGTTTTATAAATTGATAGTGGCTAGTCTTAAATCTAAAATAATTATACACTTGTACATACAATTTTGACTTGACCTGGTCTAGTGGTCCTGGAGGTTGACCAAAAAATGTGTTGACAAGAGTTGAACCCATGCATAAATCTCTTCAACTCGTCTATATATTTCTGCTTATTCTTATATTCTGCACATATCAAGTCTTCATCCACTTCCACTAATTCACAAGCATTTTGAATCTGTTGTGTCTGTCAGCCTCAATCAGAAATGGCTCATGCTGCAGTTGTTTCTCTAATGCAGACTCTTGATGAGCAAGACAAACTGCATAGTGATCAACTTCGATTTCTTCTTAGTAAGAAAGAAACCAAATCTTTCCGTGAAAATCTTGATTTCTTGAGAGATTTTCTTGAACATTCTTCACAAACATGCAATGAAGCAATCGAAAGTTTGAAACGACAAACCAGAAATGCAGCTCATGCTGCACAGCGTATCATCGAATCCCACATCTCAAATTATTCAGAATTATCTCAATGTTACGGGGAAAATTTGTCTTTGAGGCATCAACTCTTACACAAAATTATACAAGAAACTGATTCCATCACGAAAGAAGTGATGAACATTAAGAAGACATCAGAACATCTTCAGTCTCGGGAATTTCTGCGAGATCACCTCTCGAAACTTGCTTCCAAAGTCAAGACTGTTGTTCTAGGATCGAATGATGAGTTGACACAGATAAAGGATCGGATGACAAGCAACTCATCGAAGCTCAATATTGTCACAATTCACGGGATGGACCCAACACCATTCTGATGTGACCGATGAAATGTTTTCAATGATCCACTTACTGAATATCACTTTCCAATCCGTGCATGGATAACAGTATCTCAAGGATATGGTGAGCGAGAAATCTTGATTCGCCTCTTAGATGCAATAAAACCACTTGCTGATGGTGTGCGTGAAGCTGGAGAAGATCAATTATCCGAGCATTTGTACAAAAGCTTAAAGGGTCGCAAGTACCTCATTGTAATGGATAATGTACGAGATACTAAGGTCTGGGATTTAGTATGGAGATTATTACCAAAAGATGATGAAGGAAGTCGAGTCCTATTAACTACACCAAAGCCAAATGTAGTTGATTATGTCAGAGCCAACGTCACGCTTCGAAAGTCTATTTTAAGTACTTATGGCCGTCCTATGACCTTAGCTGCAATTGGGATCATTTTATTATAGTTGCATTATTGTATCTATATGCTTTCGTTTTCGTTAGGAATAGTGCCGTTAAGGCTACATCTATTCCTATATTATGAACTATGTTCTTGAAATATAAAGAAATAAGATTTATTTATTTGTTCTCCACCGTTGGTTTTTTATTTTTTGTGTTAGATTTCTTCGTTGGCTTTTTATTGTTTTTATTGATAAATATAAATCCCTAATGGTAATCCCTTCGTGCAGCTGAACACCGTAAAATTAATCTACGGCATGCATTATAGCATGTCGTAAGACATACTTTGCACGTCGTAAAAGGTACAATTTTACGGCATGACTTTATATGGTGTGCGACCGCATGCCGTAAAAAGTACATTTTGTTGTAGTGATAAACCCCTCCTAGTCAATATAATTGTATAAGGACCATGTCAAATTTTACATTCGACTTTAAAATAAAAGGTCTAAAAATCTTTATCTTGAGCTGATTTTCGTTTTACAAAAAATAAAAATAAAAAATGGAACACTAAGATCATAACTATGAATTAATTATATAAACATAAATGGTTAATATGCACACGTTGGGTTAAAAGTAAGTTTGGGGACAAAACTTGTGGTGTGTCCAATTTTGAATTTATGGTTTTTTTTAATCATTACTCCAAACATCAAAAGGAGGAAATAATTTCAAGATGTAAAAATCACGCTAGAAAAAACAATTGGCGATGGAAAAAGCAGTTAAAAATAAAGTCAAATTTTGAAGCATAGCGTGGCAAGCTACTATTCAATGCTAAATATAATCTGAAAATGGAGTTGGGTCAATTTTTTTTTTTTTGAAGGAAAACTCAATGGTTTTTCGATTTTTTATAGTGTCGATCATGAAGCAAAGCACTCTAAGGCATGTTTGATTGCAACGAATTTCATGGAAAATATCACATCCGAAAAAAATGAATTTCACTTTGACCATTTGATTGCAACGTGAAAGTGGAAGTGGAAATCGAATTCCAATGTACGATCACTTTAAACTGCATTTTCATTGTTTTCATGAAAACGAATTCTTATGGATTTGGTGAGTTTTAATTTTCCAACCAATACGGAATTAAAATTTCTTTCTACCTTTGCCTATCAAACGAATCTTAATAGAGAGATCCGCACTTGATTAATGATCGAGTCATGGATTTTCCTATTAAAAGGCTAGGCCTATCCAAGTAAATTATATAACACACGGTAATGTTATTTATCATTAGTAGGTTAATCAATGAATTAGGAGGCCGAGACACCTAGACTGGTTGCTATTATCACAAATATTGAATACAAAATTGTAATGTTTGAGAACACGATACATGAGTCACAATTGTCGTTTGTTGTCAATTAAACACGAAAATCCATTAGAATGGAGAAGACTCGACATACAGACAAAGTTACTGCATTGATTGAGAATTATTCTGGAATAAAGGCTGGTAGCAAACCAGAGTTGAGGCTTAATTACAGAGCTCATATTGAAACACCTAATAAAAAAAGTTAAGTCGAAACTAACACACTCCCTCATATACAGGCTGATCATCGGTCTAGACTTGCAGTAATCTCGAAAGGAAAAACTCTTCTGCTCCAAAATTTCTTCTCTCAGTTGCTTGAGCTGCTGCTTTGTGATGTTTTCATCTGTGTCAATGACAAACTTTGTGATGAAACTGAGCAAAATAAACCAGAAAAAATGTATCTTTACCTTTTTACGATGGCAGCCACCTCGATTGTTATGGATTAAGCGTTAATCCCAGTTGCGAGAACAATACTAAGAGAAACGAAATCAGAAAATCACAGTGCAAGCTAAAATGTGTGTACTGGTTTAACCAGAATGTGAGAGTTACGTCTACTTGGTGTTGTATACTAATTTGGTACAAAATAACCAAACCGCATTTTTAACCAGTTATTCGTGACATTGTTAAAGATTTAGTGATCTGTCTGCAGGAATCCATACCTTGTTTGTTTGAGATTTTATAATTGCAGCCAACAACTTGTCTCCTGCTATGGATCTCACTTGCTGAATCAGTTCACGCCTTGTTATTTTCTTCTCCTGGACATGNACTTGCTGAATCAGTTCACGCCTTGTTATTTTCTTCTCCTGGACATGGAAGATCGACAAATAAGAAATACAAACAACACCAGAAAAGACGCAATTTCAATAAATAAATTTTCAACATGCTCTATGCGCAGAAAAAAAATCGGGGATTTGAATCTCAGTGCTACCTATTAATTAAAATTGCCAGGCAGTTTGACAGAATGCCAGGTGGCAGCACTACTCCATTGGTCGGTTTAACATCGTAGAAATTAAAATTAAATTTTTAGTAGATTTTTATAAAAATGATGAAATAAGTGGCTGAAAAGTTATGGATCTCATGAAATGTGTGATTAAAATTAATTGTTGACTTTGACTTGAATTTTAATCTAAACCAAACAAGGCTAAATCTGTTTTTTGACCAACATTCAATGCAGTTAAGCCACCTGGCATTCTTCTTGGCAAACTCCCCCGTTGAAGGGGGCTTAACTCTTACTAAGCCCCTGTTTGATCCGAATTAACATTTGATTTTAATCCAAGTCAAAGTCAAACAATTAACATTAATCACATCTTTCATGGGTCCACAACTTTTCAACCACACATTTCAAAAAGTTATATCAAAATCTACTAAAAATCTAATTTTAATTGCTACCAAACACCCTCTAACATTGTGCAAGATTCATACTTTTTGATAGGAAGTGAGTTTGGTTCTCTACGTGAAGGAGCGTTTGAAGACAGTTTAGATTGTGTAGAGCGTGAATACGTACTCTCTGGTTACGGTGATGCTTTGCAATCAATTGGATAGCTTGAGGAGGTAAGAACTTGGAAAGTTTATTTATGAGTTCCGAGAACGGTATCCATGCTGAATTTGGTAGTCTTAGATGAGGCGGAATCCTCTGATTTCCTGCAAGTACAAAGTTGCAACACATTACGATACGCAATCCTTTCTAGTATACCAAACATGCCATATATGTTAAATATTTCCTCACTTTTAAGATTAGATGGAATTCTGAAGCTGATCACAAACTCTGGCAAGATATGAGTATTCATTCGAGTAGCCCAAACTACGTACTTTCTAGGAGACACTAAATTATCGACCCCGGAATCGAATTCGTCGGAACTTGGATTATACTGTTCCGAACCTGGACGAACAACCTCCATCCTTCCCAATATAACACGGCAAAGCAACAGGTGCCTTAGCCCATCATCATCATCATCAGTAACAGATATCTGTATACTGTTAATTGAAAATTTTACATTAGCACAAAAAAATGGATTCCAAAATAAGACTCAGTTAAAAAAAAAAATTCTAAACCCCGCAATCTGGGGTCGACTATATTTAATTATTTATCTTTTTTCAGTCTTATCACTCCATTTTCTGACATGCTATATCAAGATTTTAAGCGAATATTATACAGTAAGAAAGCTCAACGAGTCTAGTTTAAAATAAAATAAACGATTTGCGATTTCGTGTTACCTTTCAGCAGGGTGATCAGCCGGAGAGAGATAGATACCGTGACCATATACTCCACTATTCACAGAATGGCCAAAACCATGTAAAATAATGCTGTTAATCTCATTCTTGGAAGCACCATACCAAGCATATTTAACCATAGGGCTGCCCCCACATCTTTCCTTTGTGGCTCTTAAATAAACACAGAAAGACTGAAATTTTGCTCGATTCATAATGCCAGAATAAGTATTCTTATGAATAGCCTCAATTTTAGCATCCAATCCCACACAACTCAAACTTGAAACCAACTGCTTCTTAATAATCTCATATAAATTGTCCTCCTCATGAATTCTGATCAAGCCATTGTTGAATAGATGAAATATTTCTTGCTCACTGTCGAAGCCAAAAATTCCACTTTCACAATCAGAAACTGAAGAAACTTCATGAATCTGATCTTCATAATTAGTTCCTGATTTCGAATTGTTGGAAAATTCTTCAAATTGAGTAAAGTTTATTATCTTTGTTTGAGCTGAAGGCTGGAGGTGGTTTGAATGGGAAACTGGTGATTCCATTGAAAGAGTGAATCAGAGAGATGTTGCTGTTGCTTGCTCCCCAAGGAAGACTGAATATAGAGAAATAAAGAACCTTGTGATGAAAGTTAACTTGGTGTGCAATCAAGAAAACCTGCAAAGGAAGAAAATTCTCAGCACAGCTTAAATTTGAAGATTCAATATTAAAAATAATATAGGAGAATTAAATAATTATTGGGATTGAGAAACTTATGTAATTCCAAAAGCATCAATAATTATCGAAAGAAAAGAACTTCTTCGAAGTGGAAGAATCACAATCCACAAACTTTAAACATTCAAAGCAAACTCTTTTACAAAGAATCAATGCCTCAAATTGATAAGAAGATTATATAAAAACACAACACCACATTCTTGAATGACCAAGATAATAAATATTAGGACAAAGAATCGTGAAAAGAACCTTAAAAATGAAACAACGGAATTAAGAACTCCCTTCATGACACTGCTGCTGATGTATATATATGTTTATGTATACAGTATGTAAATGAGCAATCCTTTACCTTATGGGGTGTATGTAAATGAGCAATCCTTTACCTTATGGGGTGTATAAGAAAATATGTTTAATTTTCTACTTTTAAGTTCCTTGGAGAAGAGGGATTTAAATGGGAGTTACTAAAAACAGATGGAGTCCAACGGAAACACCGCCAACGTTTTACTTCAAGGAGTTTCTGGCAGTGCGTGCGTGCGTGGGTGGGTTGGGGCACCCAGTTTTGTTCAGCCGACGGTTTTATAGTTACGGAGGTGCTGCTGGTAATACCTTACTTTTTCTTAGAGGGTTTTTGACAAAAAGATTTTTTTAGCGGACTTTGATAAAATTGATGAATTGTGCGTTGAAAAGTTAATAAAAATTATGGATTTTATTAATTTTTTTTAAAAGAATTAATTATTGATTTTGACGGTAACTTTTTAGCAACTTTTAAGCTTTATCGAACAAGCACTTAAAATTTTTTTTTTTTTAATTATCAGATGATATAAGAATTTGTCAGTAAGACTACGTCAATCTTGACGTGTGCTTTTATGTGTATGTTATATAAATTTGAATTCTACTTATATAAGTTGATTCTGTGTCTCTATTTTGTGTTATCAAAAGATGTTTTTGAGCAACGTTAGAAAAAAGAATAAAGTTATTTAGCACCAGTGATATTAAGTGACGTTAAATTGATAAGTCTACTAAATGTGTTGTTATGAGATTCATTTAATTGGATTTATTACGTGTTGCCACCCTAGACCAGTTATGATGAATAGCACTACTAAAGAAAAAAAAAAGATAATTATAAACATTATTCATTTTAAATCTAATTATTTAATTATTAATCTAGCTAATAATCAGATGTTATAAGAATTTGTCACTAAGAAGTGGGTCTTTACGTGTATTTTGCATAATTTTGAATCATACTTGTGTAAGTCGATTCAGTGTTTCTATTTAGTGTTCTCAAATTTTGATGTTCTCAAGAAAATTAGAAAAAAAATGATAATTTAATATATGAAAAAAATGAATTATAAGTTCTCGATTCCAAAGAATGTGTTATTAAAAAGTAAATAAATGTTAAGCGCCTTTCTAAATGTGTAATTTTCAATGAATTTGCACGTTACCAATATGGAAAGCCATTTGTACATTCCAAATTGTACGTATGCTTGACATTGACTTCGTTTTAAAAAATAGTTAAAGGAAAAACTTTTTATTTTTTAATTGTTAAATGACAGTTTGCCACGTGTCAAACTTCGGTGTACACCAAATATGATTATACCATTATATCAATGCAATACAGAGGTCTTCAAGCTTTGCATCTAGAATGCCAACATAGACACATTTTTTTTTTCTATAGGTTGAAACTATTAGCTTGTTTGATAGAGATTTTTTGGGGAATAATTGATTTTGAATAGTGATACGATGAGAAATATATGGTTGAAAAAGAAAAACAAATTATTGATGTGATGAAAAATATTATTTTATTGAAATATGTGTGATTGAAAATGAGAATTGATTTACTGTAGCAAAATGAGAATCCCTACCAAACAAGCCAATATCCTTATATCTGCTCAATTTCAAGATCTCTAGAAGAAAGAGCTTGTGACAAAGCTCAATAATCAAAATTTTAAAAGTCCCGATTCCGAAAAATTGCAGTGTCAACCATTACAAATGTGTGATTAAAACTGAGTCCGAAAATTAAAGAGTTAAGAAATAATGTTTGCCAAACATGGGCTAAGTATACACTAGACCATTTTACCCACTTGATATTTTAACTTATTCTCAATTATTGTCTGTCCAAATATTTCTGTTTTCCATGTAGGATATTTTTTCACTAATAAAAGGTCAAATAAACAAGAAGTCTTACCTTAATTACAATAAAACATTCGGAAAAACTAAGATTAATTTTGCCAACATTTGTATATGCTGAAACATATAAAATTATGTTCACTGCAAAGATGAAACAACAGAAAATTAGAACTGCAACAAAGAAAATTCAACAATCGATTATACAATTTCTGCAGTTGAAATGTTAATTCCACGCTAAACCAGATGTCAGATTACCAAATTATACAGATTTTAACGCTCCAGCTGTTGATACAACATTACTCCAAGCCAGAATGGAGGGGATTTCAGCTAGCTGGTTCAAATCGACAGACACAATCGTATATATTTCCTTTAATAAGCTTTTCTGCGAGTCGCTGATTCTTCACCATAGCAAGCTGCAAGATCGAATTGTTCATCGAATTAATAAAAAGATCCAGCCAAAATGAGATTTCGACACTATAATAACCAACAATCCTGAAAGTACGAGTTCTTGAAAATAAGTAGAATTAAAGTCACATGGCAGGAAACATCTGTTTTTAACGATCAATGACAAGGCTTTTCACTTAAATTTCTCGTGAGGATTACTTCCTTAGTGGATTCATTTATTTATTCAAATGCATGTTAATAAACCCTTCTATAGCAAGAACTCAGAGATAACCGGGAAACAGTAACAAACTGACCTTCAGAGCATCACATTTGAACCGTGCATTGAAGTTTGTATGCAAAGCTCGTCCCATCCCTTCCAAAATAACCTGCACAAGACAAAGTCCCGGCATAGCATTGAGCGTTATGTTTAATGCTTTTCATAATACTATATGCACCTATAAAATGTTTATCAAGACGAATCAATCAAACTTGTCATAGCATTTGGAGGAGATGTTCCAATATAACTTTATAACAAAAAAAAAAAAGCATGCATTACCAGATCAGCATCTTTGGCAGCAGCAGCCAATTCTGAACTGACTTGTCTCAAGTCTATGCATGGACTCCCACACCCATTTTCAACAACCATCAGGGGAACTGATGACGAGCTTTCCTTTGAAGAATCTTGTATATTGATCATGGCATCCACAAGTAGGCCTCCAGCTTCAGCTGCTCCCCGAAGAATGTCACAGTGCTGTAGAACACACAAGTCTTGTAAAATTTCATTTTATACTGTCTAATTTTGAAGAATCGACTAGAAAGGTATTTCTAAATTATCGAAGTCTAGTATATATATTCACATTAAAAACGAGAATAGGCAGATAATGGAAAGAAGGCATCTCCAATGCTATCCCAAAGGTAAGAGGATTTTAAAGACTCCTTTCTTAATTGCTTTATCTTTCCGTAATGGCACAAAAACGGGTGAAAGAGTTGTCCAGGATTTAATTTCAACGAACGACAGTTATTGTCAGGTCCTTGTGCACAAGAGTACTGGTTAAAGAAAAGTAGTTAATTACTCATGTTATAGTGAAGTTTCACACTGTTTACCAAACTTTATTTTGCTACAAAGTGGTCACTAAAGTTTGCTTTGTATTTCAGCTCAGTTAGGATCTCTCAGTTTTTCTAATGGAATGTCCTACGAGGAAAATAACATTGTGCCATGGCATCAATATGGAGAACTTCATATTGAACTTTCCATTAGAAAAGCCAATAGATTATAACTCAGTGATCTACTGAAACAAAAAGTATATTTCCAAAATAACTTCGGAAAAATAAAGTCCAGTGACTGATATGAAATGGCAGTTTAAGTAGAGTGACTATCAATGTTTTTTTTTTACCCAAGAGTAGACAGACCTTAGCAGCCTCAGCAACAATATCAGGCACCTCCATAGCAGTAACATCATTTAGTGCAGGAAGGGAGTTGGCAACCAGCACAACCTGCAAAGACATTTTCATCGGTTTTCGTTTAGTATCATGAGAAAGTATTATAAGAGCTATCAAAAGAATATCCAAGAATTTCAACAAAAAATAAAAAAACTATAAATGGAACTTAATTAGAGATTTGAAGCTTCAAAAAAGGAAATACAGTCCAAAACGCGCCTATTCCTCTATTTAACTTTAAGACCACTTACCATATATTATTTGCAAAATACAATCATTTTCGACATTTTGGGGTATGAACTGTCAATTTTTCTCTCGTTAAAAGAGCATCTAACTAATGCATCCTCTGAACTAACAACAGAGAAATCGAGAAGGTGGTATAGTGGAAAAGAATTTCTAAATTAGGAGGCAATTACAAATTCATCATCATAATTGAACTATTTGGTCAAGATTTCAGAAGAACTGACGTACTTCAGTTCCTCGTCGCAGAAGTTCCCTTGCAAGCGGAAGCATTCCTAGTACAATATCAGCACCTGAGTTGTCCACAAAAAGCAAAGCTCTTTTATGAGGCTCAGGCTTCATTTCACCGGAGCCAAACATTCTTTCTTTGAAAATGTCAAAATCATCCACCTGATATTGGATAAATAAAACCCAATAACTTGTAATTATCATTGTCAAATATTTTCTACCAAGAAATTCTAATGTGGATGTAAAACTAAGCCACATGATAGTTTGCCACACCCACCCGCCAAGGTCTTTGCATTTTGTTGCGACTCATTCTGTATATTTCAATAATTGTTCCCTTGTGGTAGAGATCAACGCATGCACGGGATCCCCAGTCAAAGATGTTTGCAGCAAGTACCCCTTCAATTAATGTAAGCATTCTTGCTTCCTGAAAGAAAGAATGTGCTGTCAAATCTCTGGGAAAAGATGGCAAGTTTCCAGAAAGATGAAGATGGAAATGTTTATTTGAAGACTTCAGTGTCAAACATTACTCAAACTATAACTGAAATGAACTGCTAAGTAGCACAGGGATGATTCAACACCTTTTCTTTTGCATTTATCAATGAATTTTACCCCTCTTATTATATCAGTGAATTTGCTGAAATTACTAAATTTTAGATTTCATAAGGTCGTGACTGTAATATGTACAAGGTTATCACACCAATCAAGTTAAATCACTTCTTCAATGAAGGGAGGATCGAAGCATAGGTAATTAATTATACATACCTCAGTCATATTGTCAAGTTCCTTTAAAAGATCAGGTAGAACTGCAAGTGATGCTTCATTTTCCCTAGTATACACGATAAAAGGAATTACTTTTGTTTATATTTCCAGTCAAGAGCGAATCAAGTCTCTGTCAATCTAATATGACAGCAAAAATAACGTCATAGCTATATCATACCAATTTAAACAGCCTCCATTGAAAAAAAAAATTATTGCAACAAAGTGAGTCTTAGCTTTATATTGGATATATGCCAAGTCACATTCCAGATTATCCGGATGCTTATGCTCGACAGAATACCATCAGCAGTTTTGGCTCTAATTTCATAGCATATTTCAAAATAATTTGAACAGAGGTTGGCAGGACAGAACATTCCAAGCAAAGCATACCTTTGCTTTATGCTCCTATAAGCATCGATAAAGTGGAATTCCCTCAAGCACTCTTCTCTTAATTCCAAAAGGTTGGCCAGCCCCAATTTTCCATATGCAGCAGGCTCCTCCATTAACCTTGTGAGACACAACAGAAGTTTCAATAAGAGAAGCAAACAGTAAGAACTTCACTGTGAATTGATTTCTTAAATTTGGAGATTGACTGCCGTAACAGAAAGGGGGGAGAAATTAACTTGACAGAAAATAAGTAATATAAGCACTAACAAGCATAGGGTTTAAGGTTCATTCATTCAAATCAGAAGCAGACATGGAAGGAAAACAGACTAAGTTATTAATAGCTTGGCTCGCGAATTTGATGTGAAAATTCAAGATGTGTAAGACAAATTAAAAAGAATTGTTTATTTAACAAGAGTCACTTCAGAGAACCTGGTTATATTCAGAATTGCCAACTGGTGTAATGTCCCAATAGTGAAGTGTTTTGAAACATTATTCTTAGACTTCAGTTCAGATACATTACAGTAACAGCAGAGCCAAGTGTTTACTGAAGGCGAATCACATTCAAATTAGCCTTGCTGAACAGATTATCATTTCCCTTGTCCAAAAGGGGACTGTTCCAAAATCAGTAAGCATTAAGACAGAAGGTTATGTTCCAAAACCAGGCTGATTATCATTTTTCCCCTACTCTTTTGTTGAGAGAATGGGGAGGGGATTTTGTATTTCTCAGAACACTGACTATCTGGTGAATAAAGGTTGTATAATGCATTCATATAGGTTGCTTGGTCAATGTAGAGGAAGCAAAACCAAAGAAAATATAAGAGCAGCTAAGCATAACTGTTACCTCACATTAGAAAAATAAAACATTTAGAGTATTTTTACTTCGTTAAACTAGTTAGCACTATTCATGTTTAGACTGCTCCAAATTTTTATTTTTTTTGTAATAATCGAATTCTTATCTTAGTCCTCATTCGATTTTGATTTTTGAGAAGTGATTTTTGTGAAAAGTGATTACTTCGGAGAATGTGATGTAACAGTTACGGATTCACGTGTAAAATTATTTTATTGGGATAATGTGTGGTTGAAAATGAGTTAGATGAAAATTGACTTTGAATAAATTAAAATCAGACAAGGTTTTAGTTTCTACAGAAAATCTTGTAAAATGCAATCTCTTTCAGTAAAAAAAAGATGAAAAAGAAGGAAGATTAGCGTTCAAAAAGTAAACACCTCGCCAAGTGCGCAGAGAATGCACGAGCAAATGCATCACCCCTTCTCTTAGCATCATCAGTGCCACCTTCACTTGCCACAGCCTGCAGAACTCACAAGAAGATCGCACAATCATATACTCAAGACATTATTGAAAATAAAATATCGAAAAGATCAAGAATCTGAATCACCAGAAGAAGGAAAACTTGATTGCCGAATACAAATGTAGCCACAAAAAGTAATTTTCCAATTAGTTAAATGTTGTCAACTGAACATTTTTGCAGGGAAACCCAGAACGAGAAGAAAGATTATGCCAAAGTTTATTTCAAATCTCAATTGAAGCAACAAAAGTAACTTAGATTGATGACACAAATTGTTAACTTGTTGTATACATCAATAACCAATTAAAAATAGTTGCTCCATCACGTGAACATGCAGTCTTGGAAGAACTCGTAACACAACGTAATCTACTACAATAGGACAGTTTGAAACTTGAAAGCCAATTTGTTCAAGACTTACAACTTCAAAAATTTGATTCACAACTCTACATTACAAATGATTCCTTTGACAAGTTTCTTCCTCCCTTCTTTATGGGTGGGTGTGGGGTTGGGTGGCTGGGGTCTTAGGTAAACTTATGAAGGAATTATTACCTTATCAACAAGGTCCGACAAATGTTCTGATAGGACAGTATACCAATACCTATTGCCAATTGAAAATGCCAGATAGTTAAAAAAATGAAGTGTAACAAGTACTAACTACTGGATAACTTCAGTAAGATGAGAAAGATTTTCATCAAATATAGAGCCAATCAGTATCGTATATGACTTACTCTAGTTCACTGCGATCTGAGAGATCTATTGTGTTGGGCTCATATCTGCAATGAAGAAAGAATTACAAAAAATTCCAGGTTTTTTCGAATTTGAGTCAAACTGAGTGTAGACCAACACAAAAGAATGAAATTAGAACTAACAGTGACTTTCCATTTTTTCTTTGTTTTACAACAGCAGATCAAAAGTTAGACAACCAAAAGAGGCAGTCCAATCTAAAACGAGGGAATGTAAAACATATAGAAGGAAACTCCCAGTAAACATAATAGTTACAGGAAAAGGTAATATTTATGATCTAAGAGTATGGATAGGCAGAATAAGTTTGAAACACATCTAAATCAGCTTACGTTTTTGGGTCTGCCAACAGTGGAAACACTTCTAAACTGGGTACAAGATAGAGAACGCCAACATTTAGTTCACTTGCATCAGAACGCAAGGTATCTCCTTTGGAAGATGGAACTTCAAAGCCTCCAAGGCCAGTGGTTCCTGAAGGGGCCATTGGAACAGGAGCAGTGATTTCAGTTCCCTTTTGCACAAACTTTTCCATCCACGATATCTGCAATGATATGCACATAACATGTTAATGGTGTTGTTATAAATGCATACTTGCAAAATACTGCGTGCCATAGAAAAATGAAAAATAAGAACAGTTTTCAAGAAAGTTAAATGTTCAATTATGTTTACGAAATTCTCCAACTAGTAAGAACTAACAAGGCAAGTCAACTATAGTTTGTAAAGTTTATTTATTTATTTTTCCTTTTGTCATTCTATATTTCATTTATTTATATATTATTTGGGGAGTGTTGCTTTAAGAGGAGGGCTTTGTTAATTTGGCAAGACCAAAGCAATGAACCAAGTTGTTCACAAGAAAAGGTGCAAGCTCCACACCATTGAAGGATGTATAAATTTGATGTATGGATTTGAGCTGCTTCACAGGCTTAGCAACTGGATAAGGGGGATCATGTGTGCACAATTCCAGGATCAATTTGAGGCATACATTGGCAGGATAATTCTAACCATCAATGAGATAAGATAAAGAAAGAGGAGTTTTTAAGCTTAAGGAAGGTCAGTTATCTTATTCACAAGGAAGTGAGAAGTAGGCATGTTCTGTGTTAGCCATGTGATAGATTAGTAATAAGGTATTAAGGAAGTAATAAAACCATTATTCTGGTCTAGGGCTAGAAGACTCTTAGCTTTCAGAGAGCTGCTATTTTGTTAGTTTACATTTCTTGTCATTGTTGAGATATATACCTTTGTTCAGCTTTTCACCTACACTAAAATTCTAAAGTTATTCCTAAAGAATACTGCTGCTGAACAGACCTGTTTGCCGTGTAATCTTTTTCCTTTCTAGATCAGCAAAAAGAAAAGGATATATAACTTTCTTCTTCTTTTTTGTTAATAGCAGTAAAGGCCAAAGGGTATAGTCCTCAGAATCATCACCACAAAGTTGCATTCACTGATTTTATCTATGAATTCAGATCAAGCAATGGTTTAGAAATTCCACTGCATGAGAAGCAAACTATATGGCCCATCCAGCTCATTTTATTCTTCCCATCTCGTGTACGCTATGTGCGTTACCAAGGAACGTAAGAGTCTAGAAACCACCCACACCCATTGACACACCCAAACCATCCAAATAATAGGGTTTGGATGCACCCAATCATATTAATATGTGACGCAATTATAGCCACCAAAAATAGTGAATCTATATGGATGACTGACCCAACCACCTACACCCATTAAACTTTTGGCCTACAAAATCTCAAGCAACCAAGTAAAATATGCATTACATAATCAATAGAAAGTCACCACCAACTCAATAAGAGTCGACCGAGTTGGCTCAACTTCCATCATCCCTTACCACCTGCCATTTTCACCATCCTGCATAATGACCATGAACTACTGCCACCAGCACTTCCCACCATACCTGCCACCACAAACAGCTCCTCCGGCATCATGCCCTCATCACCATCAGGCTACTGGTTCTCCCCACCAATTTAACTCTCAACAATTTAGTAACAGTAATTTACTAATAAACACTGCACTGCGGTCATATATACTTTTTTTGAAAGGTAAAAATTGGGTACAGATCCACCTAAGTGGTTAGCCTCAAACGAATGTGTACTGTAACAGGAAAGAATAAAGTCCATTCCCGTCCTTGTCAGGGGAGATGCCAACCATCTCTCCTACTTAACGACACACTGCGGTCATATATACAGTAACATAAAAATTGTCAAATAGGTAGATATTAAATCTGACTTACCTAATTAATAGCGTTGTTGAATCAATGGTTCATGGATGCAAGGTTGATGGTGCAAAATGGCTGCTCTGCACCTTAGATGTGCTATACAACGTTGGAGAAATTAATGATATAATGAATCATGGAGTAATTGATGGGATTGGCGTCGGGGAGAGACTGATTGTTTAATGGTTTTTTTTTTCGCGAGTTTATAAATTAGGGGTTGAAGTGGAGAAATGAGTACAAAACGGCTGATGTCAAAATATTATCCATATAGAATCATGTATTAAATGGGTCATACAAGTGGGCGATCCATTTAGACCATTTACCCAATGTATCAAATGACCTCAAGTTATATGCCCATCAAATGCTCATATGCCACCAATAACAAACAAAAAAGAACCTTGCAGCCTATAAATTTGGCTCAACTACATGAATCATATTCTGCTGCTTATAAGCATGCAAGATCGTTAATGCAAAGAAAATTAGAGTCAAATGAATAGCGTCTATATTAAGCCCATGTTTGGCCCCAATTTCTTAAAACTCATTTTTCCCCTTAATTCATTTCAACCACACAATTTATGGGACTCACAACTTTTATAAAAATCTACTAAAAATCTAATTTATAGCCAAACCAAATAGAGGCTAAATCTCCAGATTTTGTTATCATAATTAACACATTATCAAATGTCAGAGTTTAAAAACACAGTTTTGAAGCACCTAAGGTCATAATAGCGTTGGCCAAAACTTGCCTTCTCATTTAAATCTCCTAGAGGTGGACCATGGATATTTCCTCCCACATACGGTGCACCCATTGGGAACCTTTCTACTAGCTGATGAACCATAAGGTCATCTAAACCGTGCTTTTCGTAGCTCATAAATGCACCTAAAGCTCCAAGAAACCCTTCATGTCGTAAAAACATTGCCTGTGCTTCCCCTTTAGACCTAATCAAACAGTAAGAGAAATGAAAATAATACAACATACCACTCAAATATTCATAAAAAGAGGTACCAAAACCACTAGACAACTATTACAAGATAGAAAATTTCATTTTCATGACACTAAAGAAAACCAATAAGACTTCCATGTGTACATTTCTAGGATTACCAGAAGTGAACTGCGAATGAGATGGTGTCCATAGTGTAGGCATGGCCTCTGATAAAAAAACCTCCAAAAAATATCCTCTTAAGTCCAAAGCGCAATGCATTTAAGTAAGATATCTATAGAAATCGAAAAGGATGTCAGGCATATAAACATACAAGGATTGCTGAATAAGTCATGCAGTTTTATTTGTCCATATCAGGAAATTAAGTTGAGGAAGGATGAACTAGCAAATAAATGGTAACAAAGGGTAATAAATGGTTTTTCCAAGGATTTTCAGAGTTGTCATTTTATGTGTGATCTTTATTATCATATTTATTATTATACTAATCATGTAAAGAAAAAAAGAAAATAAATCATCGACCAGAGGAAAAGAAACAAAAGACACAGAAGGGTTCAAATGAATGAAGCTAATGCACCGTGAGATAAGATTTTGCAAATTGGAAATGTCATCTGACACTATAATAAGTGATTTTCACATGAATGAACAAGTGATGCGTCATCTTGGTTCTAAGGTGATATGATGAAACTTCTATGAAACTTAAAACCATGTTGGTATCGAACCTTCGCAAATACAGCATAAATGTCTATTTTTGAAGAGTATTAGCATAAAAGGCTAAATAACCACACCGGTTCTTAATTCTTTTTTTGCTGCATACACAAGATATGGATGGGGAAACTACTTTAATTATTCAACACAAATGATGAGTATCTGAGAAATACAATAGCAGAATGTCACATACCCTGATTCCGAATTGTCAGTAAAGGAAAAGTCAGATAATGTAATGGTGGTCAAAATGACAATCACGATAAAGAACATTCTAGTAATGTGACACCTAGAATGAGATTACATAGGAATTTATGACCTGTGGGAACTTTTAAGAAATTTAGTTTGTTTTTACAAATTATTGATAGTAGTTCTGTCTCCTCTTTAATAATTATATATGTTCTTTTCCCATTTCATGACCAACTATTAACTAAAAATTTTTATATACCATAGTTAAAAGAAAAAAGAAACATACAGATTCATAAGGATACATGAAAGTGAATTAAAATTAATAGAATATCAATGTAACATACCTGGCCGATATTATAGGAAATCATTCGCAGGAGGGACAGAGATATATCTTCAGGTCTGTAATCATCGAGCTCCTTATTTTCGGATATTGCCTTGCCAAAGCTAGAGGCAATTGTTGATGCAGAGAGACCAATCTATTATCATTCACAACACCGAACTCAATAACGAGAAGAAAAAAATTTCAGGAAATCAAGGCTTTTATAACTGTGTAAATGCTGGCAGAAAGAACTAGAAAATAAATTTTATTTAAAGAGGGAAGAAAAACCAAAAGTAAAAAAAGCTATTTAGCCCCAATGGTCAAGCAAACTACCGGAGAGGACAACCCTCTATCCTTTGCATTAGAGCCAAAGAGAAGAAACTTAATGAAAAAAACGAAAAGTAATAAAAAGGGGAAAGAATGTTGTCTCTCTTCCCACCTCCCCAAGTTCTCATAATGACCAAGATAATTTCTAAAGGCAATTAATTTCTAACTCCTCATGTCCAATCAACATTATCAACAGCATTAGCTAATGGAAATGAATTGTAGCAGAGTATATAGTTACAACTTATTCCAAAACTAAACACTTCTAAAGTACAAGGACCAAACATGAAGGTGGAAACATACGATGCACCGACACGAACACGTGTGTCCGACGTGCGATTTTTTTAAAAAAAGTACGGACATGACATTTAGTCGACACATTGATTAAATTCTATAAAATTCTTCATTTATATAATATAAATTTAGTTTTATACTTGTTATACCTATTTGTTATTTAATAATAATTTTGAATTAAAAATATATAATATTTCTGGAAAAGAAAGAAAAATAATCATTATTGAGCGTTCGAGTAGTGTCGGTATGCAACAGAGGTGGAAACATATTTTATGAAAATGTCTAGGTGGTTTCTGTTTTCTTTGTCACCCCCCAGGGGGTAGGAGGAAGAAAATAGGAATGTTCTATACCTTTGAGTAATCCATTCCACCGTAAATATCGCCAACAAGCATGTCTATGGTTCTATTATCACCACGTTGGCTCAGCTCCAATAATTCATCAAAACTGATGGAGAAGAGTTGAAAGCAAAGTTTAGAAATTCAAATGCAAACAAGGAAGTCGAGGAATAGTAGAAAACCATTGCATCAAGACAACCTTTTGCATTTTGTTAACAGCTTCCCTAATCCCCAGTATGTCCCCCCACCAACATTTGTTCCACTAACTCGCTGGAATTTCCCATCCCCATCAACCTGTAACCGTGTAACAGTATAGTCATGACCATAAGATCCATAGTAATATTCAAAGAGAAAATAAATGGTGATAGAAAGGATGTTTACACCTTTATCATACTAACACCAGATCCTATATTCACGAGAAGGTACGGAAATAAATCGTTTTGATCAATCTGCACAAACATTTTTTGACCCTCGATATGTGTGAAAGCTTCATGTCGAATTGCCTACAAAAATCACAAGTAGCTTTCAACACTTTCAGCAATAGGATGAACAAAGAAAGAAGGAAACACACCAAGACAACATGGCGTAAAAACACCAGTATGCAGCATAAGCAGTTAGTTAAGAAAAAGCTTCTCCGATAAACAATGACACACACATCAAATCAGATGTATCCATCAAATTTTTCCAACTTTATACTTCAGAAGATGAAAAAAAAGGAAATGAGATTACCACTTCCTCGAGCATCTTTCTTGATCCATAAGACCGTTTTTAAGCAATAGCCAACAACAACCAACACTAGGTAAAAGAAAATAAGGTACATAATGCTCTCAGGAGAGAATTTCAGATTGCACCTTGAGCAAGAAATTTGCTCCAGCCACAAGACAATTCATTTCGTCCTCTTTCTCTATACTAATTCCAAGTCTTTCCTTAAAGAGATCGGCAAACTTGTACGCCCCACCACCTGTAGCCTTCACAAAAATGTAACTAATTAATAGAGGAACATGTAAAAGAGTGCAACAAATCTCAGTTAGCAAGGTAGAAACTTGCAACCAATGAACTTTGGCTGCTATTGCAGTTAATTCATAATGTTAAACAATATATAAATGATAATCGACTATAGATCAGAGATTGAGCATTGTGATATATCATTAAAGAAAACGTCATTTCATTCTGAAGCATGGAGAGAAAAATGCAAGGTTGGGGATAAAATCATGACAAAATAGAGCTTTTGTCAGTGTTATTATTCGCTATTCACAAAGAAGCAAACTATCCATTGCTTAATCTTCAGCAAAAAGAAACAGTGATATAGACTTCGTTCTTGATAGAATTGATGATTGGCATGGCATTCTACTTTACAAATTTTCACATACAAATTCCAACTCCATTTACCTATGGGCAAAATTCTTCTCCATTGTCTTTTGCATTGCTTAAGAAAAAATTAATTAGAAAATGGGAAGATGCAGGTGCTGGTGGGCAGGAAATATGGCTACTTAATCCTAAAAACAGTTTCTTACAGATATATGAACAAATTATGAGAGCAGATTTTTTCAATAGAAACAGTGGAAAGATATACCGGTAAACATTTTACCATATTTTAAGAAGCTTTGTGCACAATTCACAATACATGTGAAGATATGCAATTCTGAAATTATGTATAAACAGAAAGAGAAGCAAAAGTAAAAGTTTTATAAGTCAAACAATTATCTATTATTCATCATTTAAATCATTTAAATTATAAAGCAAATATAGTGTTTGCCTCCTATTCTTTGTCCTCAGATATTTAGAGAATCAATGTGAACCACACTTCAAAGTTTGAATCTTTGTCTAACCTTTTCAGATAGCTTTTAATTGCATTAAGCGAGCTTATGTGACCTGTTTGAGAAAGTAAACAACTAATTTACCTTAATTACGGTGTTCTCGGTGCTTGGACCTTTGGATTGCCAACGTCGTGAATCCATTCCTATAATAAAATAGCACAAATACAGACAAGAAGTAACCACAAAAAGATAAAATCGTGAAAATCAATCATTGAACTAACTCATCAAAATACACAAGAAGAATGGAACAATAGCATTTTACTAATCATTCATCATTACAAGTGGGGAATATACCACCACGATGAAGCTGCTTTGAGTAGATGAAATCCAAGCATTCTTTTATCTTGATTGTCTCAAACTTCACAAAATGCAGTCTCCCGCCAAGAATAGGGTAGCTCCTTCTATTGCCATTAGAAATACCCAATCTCGCCGTAATTGTCTTTTTTCTCTTGTCATTTATTGGTTGGTCCTCGCATCTCGAAAAATAAACCAACTTAATGAGAGATCCTACAAAATGAAATCTATTCACGTTATAAATAGTTACTAAAGAGAGGAAAAGACAGTCATATTTCCATCCAAGCTTGAATTCAATTTCCCTCCCAGTGAAAAAAAAAGGAATAATAATAATAATAATGACAACAACAAAGATATCAATGGAAATTCTTATAACATATAATCTAGGAGGACACGTGATATTAAAATGAAAAAGAAAAAGTAGTCAAAGTTACTCAAAACGTCAATATAATACAGTCTATTATATAAATTAATAATGCTGAGAATTCAGAAGCAGTGTATCTTATTTATCACATAAGTGGAATATCAAAGTAGAGAGATGAAAATAAACACAATATTTCATCCCAAAATGAAGTCCTTGAATGATATTTGGAGTTGACAAATGTACAATGACCCAAGTAGCATACTTTAAATGGAATGGTTCCAAAAAACAAGAATACTTCTTTCTAAAGATTTCTTGAATATTGATTGCAAAAACAGGAAGTAACATAATTCCAAAAGGAAAGAAAAAAAGTAGTAACAAAACCAAGGAACAGGACAAAGTTCACAATCAGAAAAGCAAAAATATAAATACAGAATTCACAGTAAAGAGAATTTTCTACTTCCTAACAAACAGAACGCACGCATAGAATTCACCTCCAATATCCAAAGCCAAATGAGAAATATCATCAGACTGATTAGGCAACAGAATTGTGGGATCCCTTTCCTCAAAATTTCCTTGTATAGCAGCCCCACTGAGGTCCAGCTGCGGCCGGGAAGATGACCGGTGAATCGAACTGCCGGCCAATGGAGCCATTTCCTTTTCTTGTCCTCCTCCTCTCTCTGCAACAGTACTAGTATCTCTTTGGGTTTCTGAATTATGCTTGGCTTTTTCATCACAATTATTTATATTGCCGTCAATCCCAACGTTGAGTTCTTGGTGGTCCTCTGTTAAGCTAGCCATTATAATTACTCTCCACACCTGCTGCCTAATCCCAAATTGTTTCTTTCTTACTCAAGTCAAAAGTCCAATTTGGTATTTTCTGTTGTCCTACATTCAAAGTCCCAAACCAAACACATTTCTCACACATTAATGAATGTTATACAATAAATGAATAGGTACCCAGATACTAAATTCAATAAAAAAATATATATCACTATTTGTATATCCAATAAAGAAGCACTTAAATCAATAGATATGCCAAAGAAGATCAAAACAAAACATACCCCATTTTAATTTTAATAAATCTAAAAAAGATAAAGAAAAATGGTAACTTTTTGAGAACTGGATAAGGAAAAAGTAAAGATATAGAAAGCACAATCTTTTTTTAAATGAAAATAACAGGAGTAGGTAAGGGGAAACAAAAAGAAAAAATGCAATAATAAACTCAATTATTATACAAATTTTTGGGAGATTTTTTTCTTTAGAGAAACAAAAAATTATAAGGAACCCAACAAAAATGGCGGCTTTGAATGATGATTATCGGCAAAAAGGACACAACTTTTTGCACGTGTTCATGAAATTGAATGAACCCAGATGGCAAATTAGAAGAAAAGAAGGCAAAATGAAAAAAATTAATAAAAAATGGAAGTGTTGAGGAAGTGTGAAATTAAACTAACTTGGTTTGTTGAGGTTGATTTGGGGAGAACACGAAATGTGGATGACGATTCTTCGCTCTTCTGAATCCTCTTTTATGAATTCAACCGCCGCGCGTGCCGATACGAGAGGCATCGCGCGATTGTCAGGCAGATAGTATACACTGGGCCTCAAATTATAATCTTTAATTATAATAAAAAAAGATAACAACAATGTCAGCTATGAATTAAAATCAAACTTTTAGTAAATTTTAATAAAAATGATAAAATATATGATTAAAAAGTTATGAATTATATAAAATATATTTTTAAAATTAATGGTTAACTTTGATTAGCTAGCTGCTTAATATTTAAAATTGATGTTTTGGATTTCTAATCTATTTAAATTAGTAAATTTATGTCCTTAAGTGACCATATTAGAGAGTAAAATTGTCAGTTCATTTACGACATGTTAGGTAGAGATTAAAATCGAATTAAAATTGAAAAACTAACCGTTATTATTGACTTTTATTAGACGAGTTGACCCAATAACAGCTATATTTTCAATTTTAATTCGATTTTAAACCCTATCAAACATGCTCTTAATATTTATCTTCAAATTAATAGAAATGTACTTGTGATTTTAAAATCTAAATTGTCGATACTTGTCTAATGGGTCCAAATTCATACATTCAAATAGATTGTAAACTCACAACCTTACTTTTGACGGTTGATGATCAATAATCACTCTATATGACAAGTTGAAGATCAAAACATAAGAATATCAACAATACACTCTCTAAATACAGAAATAGTCTTTATTTATAGAGAATCAATGCTTTTTAAAATAGAGAGTGAGCCAAATTACTATATTCTTAATGACAATTATTGCATTTAATAAATTTAATATTTCAATATTTTATTTCTTAAACTATTCGAATTACATTTAAATTTATTGGTTAATTGTCATATAAAAAACTATATCAAATAAAATATGAAGAGTATTCCACAAATATTTATTGAGAAAAGCAAAATGAAGAATCAAGATGGAGAGCTTATTGGAGTGTATAAAAATCTTGAACTCTTTAAATTTAAACACGCTCTTTATAATTAAAGAGTCTTTTGGAAATTATCAGGGTTGTGTTTGCCTGCGAGGGGAAGGGGGGTTGAATAGGATGGGCGGGACACGACGGGGCCGAGAAGATGAAATCTTTCTAATTTCATTTTTATGTGTTAATGTATATTTAATTATTGTAAGTGAGACTTATTTGTATTTTTGAAAAGTAATGAGATTTTATTTGTAATTTAATTTTTTTTACCGATTTCTTTTATTTTTGTGTATTTAAAGAGAATGGGAAAAATATGTTATTTCATGGCCAAAATTAAGGGAATGAAGAGTTTTACTATATAATCAAAAGGTTGAAGATGAATTATGCTAAAAAGAAAAAAAAACTAATGATAAAATTGTTACATTTCGCGAAGGTTGGAGACGAAAAATACAAATTTCCATTTATTGAGATCTTTATACTAAACAAAAACTCTTACTTTCTTATTGACTGTCGTAGAGATAAATTACCAGAATTCTTTCAAGAACGAATTAAATATTGAAAGGGCATATATGTCATTCTGCTTGGTCCAGTTAATAATTTCGATTGGTATAGAACTGACCTACATTGTATAACGATAAAAAAAATTGCTACATATTGGATAAAAAGCACTCATAGACAGGGGCTTAGTCTACTATGTAACATATGAGATCTTTGCTACTACCTTTTTAACCTTAATATTTATTTGAATTCAATTATTTTATATGACTAGGAAAATGTGTGTATGTAAAAACAAAAAAAAACCTCCTTTTGAAGATAAGTAGAGATTTAGCCCCTGTTTGATTAATCACATTTTATGAGACTCACAACTTTTCAATAACATATTTCATCAACTTTTATCAAAATCTACTAAAAATCTGATTTTAATCTCCACCAAACCGGGCTTAGTAATTTATAAGTACAAAAACAATGTAATAAACCGAATTTAAACAGTTAAAATATTATA